CTCAATCAAGTACATCCAGTCATTGTTGGCCCAATTCAATAGAAATCCACAATTTTATAAGCGGCATAGAGGTCAAGGAGTGTTCCTTTAACATATGGCTCAAAATTTTATGTCCTACACTGCTTGACAGACCTAAATGTTACTACCCAATGCAAGCTTGAAGAGTTCAAAGCAAACTCACTAGACGTGAATTTCTATTCACAAGCATTCAATTTTCATTTGCCAATAGTTAGTGGGCGAGTAGAATTTTTAAGCCCTGTTCTAACAAATTCCTTAAAATCATCTAGGGGGATCTGTTTCCTCTCCTATGGGTTACTCTTGCTTTTAGAAGTGGTCATGGAACAAGCAATCTTATGTGTAGCGTTTCTACTTGAACTATTGCGTATACAGATTACTGTGATTTTGTACTGGGGTGTAATTACAACCCTGTCACATGTATCCTAGTCAACCTAGAACTCTGTTCCAGATTGACTAAGACGAGTTCTCACGTCCATCATCAGCACACACTACACGCTGGCAACGAATGTAATCAGTTTGTCTATGGTGTCCCTTTAAACGGTAATGGTAAGAGAGTAAATTATATAAGTGGAACTTCCCAGAAAAGTATTTACTTTATTCATTTTGTAAGCATTACTCTTAACGGGTTACTTCGACCACTTCAGTGAGTAGAAGGGGACATGGAATCTGAATGTGGAGGCGGGTTGAGCCAAGGAGAGAACTTGACTGCGCACTGCCATTTTTTTTCCTCTTAACTTTGATTGGAAAGTGGGTGGGTAATCCCAGCACAGCAAGGGTTACTCTAGCCCAAACCAGCGTTTTCTTAAAACAGTGTTTTTGGTTTGAGACCCCGTTAAAATATAGCTTTTCTTGTCAACAGTTTGGCCCACCTTATCTGATGTAAGAAACGCTTATCAATTTCCTTTGAATCTAGCCCGGCAACTTGCATTAATATATTCAGCTATTGCTATATACTCATATATAACTTTATATTGTACGTTTGAGGCCATAGCTTACATAAAACCTATTTGTGTCACTTGTTTTGCCTGTCAGATAGTTTTGGTGTATTTTTTTTTTTTTAAACCTTATTTTTTTCTTATTGATCTCAATAAAAATAATCACTTTATGCCAATTTGTCAAAAATAAACGTATACATTGTTTGTGCCAAAATGCTAGCAAAGTTAAAAGATAATTCTGTTCATAATATATACATTGTTGTAATAACTATTTTTAAAAATAGACATACCTCTAGTTGAAATATGGAGTACATGGGTGAGTAGTTCTGCGCACAGTTCCTCTACCCAAGAAAACCTAGATCTGTACTGTACTGTAAAACGTTACTTGTAAGATCAGGTAGTGTATCCGTTTTGCAGGCAGCTGTCCCATCCATTCCAGCATACCATCTTACAACAGTCTTAAGCCATCTTAGAGTAAATATCTTAAGCGGTACACTTGTCAGCAAATTGTTTAGATTTAATGTACACTTGTTACACATTGTTGGCATGTCATTTCTTAAAGAACCACCACAAACCATTTGGATAATTAGAGCTTGGAAAAAGGTCGGCACAATCTATATTTGGTTCTGCAACTGGTAAACCAATTTAACTGATATAATAATTGTTCCTCAAATCACACAGAAGTATGCATATTGTGGGATATATTTCTTTAATTACAACAGCTTTACAATTACAAAATGGTTTATACAGAAAAAGTCAACAAATAATTCAAATGGAGTTGTAAATGAGAGATACACAGCCCGACCGATACAGGGTTATTCACCGAAATGAGAATTAAAAGTGAATTTAAGGCCAAAGTAGCTGAAAGTAAAGCATAGTTAACTTAGAGAATTTTTCCAGTTAGGCTATTTTCACCTTAAATTTTAAACTCACTTTGAATTTGCCTTGCATGTGAACTTTAGTGAAGAACTTCGGCAATGTTGGTAAGCATTTTCCATCTAACAAATGTTTTTCTAAATAGCCAAAATATACTAAGAGTTAATTTTGCCCTTCGCAGTTTTTGCTTCTGACTACAGTTGCAAACCATAAGTCCAGTGGATATTAATGATGAAGACAGTGGCTCAGAGGTTTATTTCTCTGCCATAATTTCATCAGAAATGGAAAGATTCGATTGATCGAAGCCGGTAGTTAAGATCACTAAGAAAGGAGGAGGATGGGTGTTGAAATATTAATTTATACTTTAAAAGCCTGAAATTCATCAGCAAAGACATACTGTGGAATGAAAGATTGAATGTTACAGTACCAAATATAGACCATTTTGCATGAAATTTGCAACGGTGACACATTTCCAGCATGAAGATATTTAAAACAGCCTGTGGGCTAACTTGCAAAACAATTAACCTGCACACTGCCAAAGAAGAAAAGAGAACAAATATTCTTATTTATTACTTGACTAATAATCTGTCAGTGGTTCAGATTTTGTTTTAAATACCTACTTTAAAAATAGGATTATTAATAAAAACGTATCTTCATTAATATTTATCATTAGCAATTATTTTGAACTACAAATGTCAAGACCTCTATCTGGTCCCGCTGGAAACAAAATGAATACATTAAAGCACATTTTAATAATAGTAAAAAGGAAAATTAGATATCCCCCCCATATTTTATTTTTGTGCTTTGTTCCCATTAAACTTTTTTTTTTTTGCCTATCTCGCAATCACTTTTGTGCCCAGGTTGCAGACCTCAGGTATTTGTTCAACATATTTTAACATAATGGTATTTGCTAAATAAGAAGGCAACAAATTGTTTTTTTTTGTTTGTTTTTTACAGAACTGCCTGTAGAGCTGTTATATGAACAGTGATCGAAGTTAGTGCTTTATATAATGATATAGTCAGCCAATGTTTAGCCAGATTCCATTAACTGAAACAAAACTAGTACTGAAATGCCCACCGGCCCTGCTCGAAGTAATAAAATAAGTAACATTAACTCCTTCACCACAAGGAATAAGGTCAATTCACTGTTGGGGGCTGCTCTCCACCTTCATACTGCTTTAAGCAAAATGACTGTTCAAAGCAGGTCAATAACTGAACTCAGCATGTAAAAAAAAAAAAAAAAAAAAAATAGGGTGAGAGGAAAATATTAAGCTCTCCATTAGCCACTGGGCTGCCCCCTCCTTCCCCAGGTCAGCCGCCCAACTCCCTACCTTAGCTTTCAATGAGCCGGTCACCCCTCTCCCTCACTCAGCCCCCTGCCTCAACCCTCAGTTAAACGACTGCCCATCTCTGTTCTCAGGCAGCCAGTCACCTCGGGGGCTGAACAGGCTCACAAATCCCTGGCACCAGGACAAATTTCCTGGTCGCCGTGGCGCATGGAATTTGTGGCGTCCTGATATACACTAAACCCTCAGTGAATACTATCCAAGCAACCTACTTTTCTACCCTACCCTTACCTTTTGGGTCACTATACCCCACTCCCTCTAGCATGTAAACTCATTAAGCAGGGCCCTCAATCCCGCTGTTCCAGTCTTCTTGTGTGTCCAACTCGTCTGGTTACAAATACATATGTTAGTCCACCCATGGTACAGCAATACGGAACTTGTTGGAGCTTTATAAGTGATAATATATGTTTGAAGATAGACTTTAGAATTTAAAAGTCATTCTGAGAGAGCTCATCTGTGTAACAAAATGTTTCTTCTAATTTCTTCTTGCACAGTAGTGTGTGCTTCTACATGATACCATGACCTGTAATTCTGAGCTTTACGCTAGTGGCACCAGATCTAGATTGGTTGTGTAAGTATTAGCTTCAAGCTACACTGCACCATGAACAGGTAGTTATGGATAATTGACAGATGGGCGTTCTCATCTTGGCACTTCATGTCACTTTGCTGTGGCAATTATGTAAAGGGCAAAAGGTTCACTGAGAGTAATCCAGAGTAACCATAATAAAATTGGAACATAAAAAAAAAACATGTCTAGCCTGAAAGGTAGAAACAAAGTAAAATCCTTTGGCTGTAACAATCTCCGTAGGAACAAACTCACTGACTTTTATAACTATGTATTATAACTATGTAATGGGCAGACTAGATGGGCCGAATGGTTCTTATCTGCCGTCACATTCTATGTTTTTATCTGAAGTGGTAGAGGTTAACACAGTGAAGGAGTTTAAGCATGCATGGGATAGGCATAAGGCTATCCTAACTATAAGATAAGGCCAGGGACTAATGAAAGTATTTAGAAAATTGGACAGACTAGATGGGCCGAATGGTTCTTATCTGCCGTCACATTCTATGTTTCTATGTAGTGTTGTTCCAAGTAAAACATTATAGAATTTGACATGCAATAATGGTATTCAATAAGACACTTTTGTATTTTAAATAAGAACAATTCCAGTGAAAGTTATTATTATGATATGACAGTCAATATAACTTTGGAATTATGTGACTGTATTAAATTGCAGTTGCAGGAAAAATATAAAATTGTTCATGTATAGAATATGTAAGTAAGACAAACAATATTCAGTGAGTGTTATAATGGAGCAAGATCGACTACGTGGAAAACTAAACTGGAGAATATTAGAGGAGATAAAGAATTGGTCCATTATTGGGTCACTGGATCCAGTTCTATACTGGAAGTAAACCAATTTATAGAGCAAGGGGTTTACTATAGAAGATATCCAAACATTTCAATAGGAAGGGTGTTTTAAGTCACATTTCAACTCTCTTGCATGTTTGGCCCTTTTTTAGCATGAATACATCTCTTTAAAACAATTGAGTATTAAAGCAGGAAGGGATCTTTTTACTGGTAATGACAATAGTAAAGGACACATGGTTAAAACTGTTCATTTTGGGGGCGTGGCTTGGATCTCACGGAGTAGTTGCATGTCTGCGGTGTTCCAGAGCTATAGCAGTTATAAATGCAGGTTGCCCGATCTACCCAACTACTTTCTGGTCCCTGAACTCGGCAACAATATGGGGAAACGAAATAAGAAACTAAAAACTCAACCAGAAGATTGGAGATCTTTTCCTGTCAAAGCCTAAACCTAAAATGGCGGAGACTGCGGATCCTCAAAGCTCATCCTCGGAGGAGGAAGCACTTGATGCTCCAGACCCCATACAACAGACTGCTGACCCTTTATCGACACTTGGAGACCTGGGAACTTCGGATACTAAAGGAGATATCCAGAAGAATCTGCGCACCATGTTCCGTAAAGATATAGAAGTACTGCAGGAAGAGGTGACCACTGTCACAGACAGGGTGAGGGCTACCGAAGAGGACATCACCTCAATAGCACCATGCCAACAAGTCAAGGGGGAGAAGCTACAACACCTCCAGTCCTTGCACCAGACATTAGAAGCCCGGATGGATGGCCTAGATGACGGAAGACGCTGCACCAACATCAAAATCAGAGGCATAGCCGAATCTATCGACGACACATGAATTGCCTCAATTCATCCAACGCCTACTGACCACATTACTCCATCCCAAGCAGGTGAAGAATGCATAAGTGGAAGATACCCCACAAACTCCCCAAAACCCCAAGAGCTCAGATGGAGCCTCCCGCGATGTTCTCCTCCGCTTCCAATCAATCTGAGATAAGCTGTTGGTTATGGAAGTGCTCAACAATATGAATCCCTACCAAGGGTATGAAGCTCACATTCCTGCAGGACCTTTGCAGGCTACTCTGACCCATAGACACTCCGTTCGGCAGGTAACCGTAATCGTAACCCTCAGAGAAGTTCGGATCAAATACCAATCTATGCTTAGAGCCATGAAGGGAGCGACCACTGTCCGAGTGACGTTAAGAGACGACTCCGGCTCCTTCCTCAGCAGACACGGACTGGATAAACCAGACTCCAACAATCCCACTCCTGGCTGATCCTGGGACGTACCCTTTGTGCCCCACTCTGCTGCTGACACAGGCTGAGGCCACAGTGGCACTCCTGGACAGAATCAAGCTTTGAGGCCACCAAACTCCCAGACCCCATCTGGCACACATTTATCTTATCTTAACTTTATATTATTATTATGTTATTGTTCTGAGTTACTTATATAAGTTACAACACTCTTCTAGCAAAGAAGCATTACTTTTCCTGCTAATAAAGCTGTATATGCCTCTCCCCCTCTTTTGGTGCCCAGGGGTTAATGAGCACCAAACATATTGCTAATACACATGGGTCATCACAGCAGTTTATCACCCACACTTAGTTACCTTAATGGTATGATTTTAATTACCCCATATACTAACGCTCGTTATTAGTTCTAGTAGTATGCAAGCTATGGCCGACTAACACTGCATAAGGTGTAACATACCAGCAGTCTGGCACATGAAGACATCCCAGGTCCCTAGAATCTTAACAGAGAGACAATCCACTCCTATACGGAGGGCCTGTAGCTAACTACCCACGTCTAAGACTGGTATGGCCATGCATACCTTCTTACCCCACATCAATATATATATATATTATATATATATATATATATATATATATTTGTGTAAGGGGCAAATAGCCGTATATGGAGTAAGGATCCAGCATAAGCGTAGGATAGTATAAAGTGAGCAAGTCGGTTGTGGTGTGCCGAGACCGACGATACGGTAGGCCTGTAAATAAAGAGGGCCCACCAAGGAGTAAGAAAGTAAAGTAAATGGAAAGAAAAGAGAAAGTGTTGAAATGAGGAGTGGGTGGGAGGGTCATTCTGATGCTGACCTCAAGCGATATGAGTCAGGTAAGGGGTGTCCCTTATATAGGGGAGTGAATTAATTTAAGCCCCTCCCACAAATACAGGCCAAACGGCCTTAATACTTGTGTAAGGGGCAAATAGCCGTATATGGAGTAAGGATCCAGCATAAGCGTAGGATAGGGCAGAGTACAGAATATTTGATAGAGTTCTAACCTCAACATATGAGGAAAGGGATTTAGGGGTTATTATTTCTGATGACTTAAAGGTAGGCAGACAATGTAATAGAGCAGCAGGAAATGCTAGCAGAATGCTTGGTTGTATAGGGAGAGGTATTAGCAGTAGAAAGAGGGAAGTGCTCATGCCATTGTACAGAACACTGGTGAGACCTCACTTGGAGTATTGTACACAGTACTGGAGACCGTATCTTCAGAAGGATATTGATACCTTAGAGAGGGTTCAGAGAAGGGCTACTAAACTGGTTCATGGATTGCGGGATAAAACTTACCAGGAAAGGTTAAAGGATCTTAACATGTATAGCTTGGAGGAAAGACGAGACAGGGGGGATATGATAGAAACATTTAAATATATAAAGGGAATCAACACAGTAAAGGAGGAGACTATATTTAAAAGAAGAAAAACTACCACAACAAGAGGACATAGTCTTAAATTAGAGGGACAAAGGTTTAAAAATAATATCAGGAAGTATTACTTTACTGAGAGGGTAGTGGATGCATGGAATAGCCTTCCAGCTGAAGTGGTAGAGGTTAACACAGTAAAGGAGTTTAAGCATGCATGGGATAGGCATAAGGCTATCCTAACCATAAGATAAGGCTAGGGACTAATGAAAGTTTTTAGAAAATTGGGCAGACTAGATGGGCCGAATGGTTCTTATCTGCCGTCACATTCTATGTTTCTATGTTTCTATAGTATAAAGTGAGCAAGTCGGTTGTGGTGTGCCGAGACCGACGATACGGTAGGCCTGTAAATAAAGAGGGCAAAAATGAATAATCAAAGATTTAATACAGTCAACAAATATATACAAATTAACCAGACATTTCCTTAAAAGCATTACAGTATTTAATTCCTGAAAGGATTTTGAAGGTAGGAATCTAGGACCGAAAGTGGACACCATTTGTTGTGGGTAGGATAGTATGTTATCTCTACTGTTGGTGCGTGTTGACTCGTTTCGGAATGTGGTAGAGCCAATAGGTAATGATATATGTGTTTATGTACGTGGGATCGTTGAAAACAATGATCTGTCTGAGTGGTGGTGATGGTAGTGGATTCTCTGGCCTGAGAAAGGCATAAAAGGCAATGTGCATAGATGGTAATGGCCGACTTGGTAGTATAATTGAATGGTTGTAGATCTAATAGGTCCGATAATGATGAAAAGTTGGATGGCTATTGGTAATCTCTGAGAGGAACGTGGGGGAATGGATTCCTGAAAACCTCTGAGTATATTCTTGTCTGGTATGATAGCATGAAGTTTATGGTAGTTTTGGCCATAGGTTATCCTGTGTTGTTGAATGCCTGTAAAATATATAATTAATGGTGTGTGAGATAGTTTAAGTTTAAGGTGGCAAAAAGAAGCAAAATCTAGGAGAAATTTTATGACACAGGTTGAGCTATGTCGTGTGCCAATGAGATTCTTTAAGCCAGGTGAAAAGCTGTGTTATGTGTTCTACAAGTATGGGACGAAAGTGCTAGGTGGGATAGTGCATGCTATGCTGCATGAGTATGTCTAATCCATGATTTTGTCTCTGGAACGAAAGAGTGGCCGTGACTGTATGGGCGGCTGTAGGAAGCGCATGATGAACATGCCTGGAATATAAATGAGACAGTTGTCGGCAGGGATGTATACCCCCGTCTGGTACATGAAAGTGAAATGTGATAAGTGGCCAACCAAGTGAGTTCCCCAGAAATATCATGACCTTATGGGGTACTGGGATGCCCAAGTGGTCAACCAGACTAAGCTGCCGTGAGGCTTCTAGTGAAAAATATGCTTTCTTTGATTAACAAGAAGTCTTCTAGATAGTGTATGACTGTAAGGCCTCTGGATATGTTATCATAACCAGCACAGAGTATCTGCGAATATCGATAGTAGGCTAATCTGTAGCTCGAAAGTTGAGCGGGGAAAGGATTGCCCAATTTATGCCATGTAAGTGCCAGTGTGTAGGGTAGATGGTAGCCGTTTACTGCGTTGATATTGGTCTTACTTAATCAAGCTTCAACCCATGCTTGAGTGATAGCTGTAAAGGTAGATCAATGGTGTTGTATAGTAAGAAAAATCCTCAGAGGGTGTGAGGGAGTTGAGACTTGGGGTAGCGGAGGTGTGTGGTGCCAATAAGTCTATGGTTAGTCTTTGTTTAAGGGAAGATTCCTTGTGACAATACCAATGTGTGTGTTTGGTGCCATGCTGTAAATGGTGGAGATTGGAAGACCCCTCTGCAAATCTTGGCTATGAGTGTGTTTACAGCCAATGGTTTTGTTGTGCTGACTGTAAGTGAGGGCATGCTATATTCCTTGAAGGTGTGTTTATGATACCTGTATGGGAGCCCTTTGAAGCTCCAGAGCTTTAGTAAATCTACTACAAGTCTGGAAGGGTGATGAGTCAGTAGTGTTGAAAATGCATTGGTGTGTACAGATGGTGAATACGTTCTTTGTAAGTTGTATTGGGACACATGGTTTGTCATGTGCCCTGAACTATTTGAACATATATGCGACAGTCTGTATGCAATGCAACTACTCATATCAATGGTCTCTGGTAGTTCAGAGGTGCTGGTACCTGGAGCCTGAGAGTGCTCATCCATTTGTTTGGGACAAAATCCGTTCTGTATGGGTACCTGCACAAATAAACATCTCCACATATTCCAAATGCCAACCGAACCAAGGGATGGTCAGTTCCCGATTTACCTGGAATCCCTGGATCTGACCATCACAGATACATCATCATACATATATATGCCTTGCTTCCCCAATGTGCTGGGATCATACGTGCAGGTTTAACATCTTGTGTGTCATAAGAATTGATTGTACCAGGTAACCGAGTTTCGGTTGGTGCTGGTTGTACAGTAGCATGAGGCCCAGCCTTGTGAGGGCTGTGGGGACCAACTCGAGATTGCCAGTCTGTCATAAATTGTTTGGCTCATGAGTTTGAGTGAAGCTAGCATAGCCTGGGTGTCACCTGAGTTGATGTAGCTGGGCCTTCCCCTGCCTCCGTGTTGTCCGTTGATGTATGGAGGAGTTTGAATAACTCTGCTTTCCTTGCTGTGGCAGGGTAGGGGATTTGTCACCTCCTTAGGTCAGTGGTAATGTGTGGGATCGTCCAGGATCTGATTGCTGCTGGACTAGCAACATCTCCTCTGCTTGAAGGTGTATCAATTCTAGCCGGGGTGCTAGGAAGAGGTGATTCTTCACCATCTTTTGAGAAATACTTAAATAACAATAAAGATTGCAATTATTATTTGTACCCAGGGTTCTTGTACTGGCTTGCTAGCTAAGCCGTAAGGCGAAACGATTAGACTTGGTGTTTTTTGGTGACTGGTGAGGCCCTGCTAGTTGCCAAGTGGCTTGAGAGGCTCTATCTATGCTTGGCGCGAGGGGATTTTGTGTGGCCACCGAACGTTGTGGCAGGATGTTGGCCTCTCGGTGACAGTAACCAGAAAATAGGAAGGGGAGTGACAGGTGAGGTCCTCTCTATGATACAATGCGAGGCGACTAGCTCACGAGTGGCCCGAGGGGTGTATGCCTCCGAGTGT